GAAGGTACACCAAGTATGCGAAATAATCCACCGACGTTTATAGCAGTGCAACAACTGAACATTGAGTTACTTGGATCTTCGTCCTTTTGCCATGCAAAAACAGTTCCCAGCTAGTGCGAACGGATACTCCATCCTGGACCTAACTGTTCCTGGGCCTTCAAACTGATCATAAGGTACGTCACAACATGGCCTGTGCTGACGCGGAAGAGCGCGCAGAGGTTCCTCGCATGCTGCACCCCTAAAGAATCCTTTTTGTGTTCCTTTTAGGAACCCCTTCTGGAACCCCTATACCCTTTGCAGAGCCCCCTTACGGAACGCTTATCGCTTTCTATAGAATCCCTCATGGAACCCAAGAGCTGTCTCAGGAGCCCCTGAAGCACTTGTTTAAGGAACCCTCAAGGCCATGTAATGTGAGGACTTGGGCTTTGAAGTGAAAGGGTTTTCGGCGAAGCCTCGGTGGGGTGCGAGCGTGCCGTTTAAGGTTTCAGGTTCAGGGCCCCAATTACTTCAAACTGTCCTGGTTCGTAGACCATGTCGGAAACCCAAAAAGCGAACCCTATGTAGAACATAAACGCATCCCATCAAAGTCACACCATTGAAGACCATTGAAGAAAGCCCCAAAACATCCCTATAAACAAACTCCCACAAACATGCGCAGTTCTCGCATAGAAGAAGCTCCGTAAAAGGTAGCCTTCGAGCTGCTGGACGTGGACGGCGACGGCGTTCTTGGAAAGGAGGCCCCTAAACCCTAAACCCTAAACCCTAAACCCTACACCCTAAACCCTAAACTCTAAACCCTAAACCCTACACCCCGTTCAGGGTTCAGGGCCTGGGTCGGCGCGTCAATGGGGCTTGAGGGTTCTGAAGGGTACCTGGGCTTTGCATCCTTTATTTTCGGGGGTTTGATAATAGAACTTGACGATTTCATATTCTTTCTTAGGGGTCTTCGTAGACTGTTGGTAAGGATGTTTTTTGGGTTCCGGGGGGGGGCACATGATGGAGCTTTCGGAGCGGTAAGGCTTGGGTGTGGGGTTTTGAGTTTAAGGGCTTATGGCTTGAGGGCGACCGGGTGTCGAGTTAAGAATTTTGGAGTTTAGGGCGAATGGTTTAGGCCTTGCGGCTGTTTGTGCTTCGAAGATTTTAGGTTTTGGGGTTCCAGGGAGAGGGTTTCTGCAGGGTTACAGGGCTGAGGGGTTTAGGTTTTTAGTGCTCTTGGGTCTAGGGTTTCAGGGTTTCAGGGTCCGGGGTTTGAGATTGTGTTTATACGGTGTTTCTAAGGCGACATAAAGTTTTCGACGTTCAGAGTCAGAGTCTAGGAATTTGTCGGTTTAGGGTTTGAGATTATTTCGTGTTGGTTTGCATGCTGCATGGTTGATATGGGCTGCAAGTGTTTTAGGGTTCGGGTTTCGTACTTATTGCTGCCCCGGCCCTAATCCCTAATCTCTAAACCCTAAGCCCGTCTCACGCGTTCAACTACCGGGGACTCCCATCTGAAGTGGGTGTGCCTAAACCCTCTTGGCTCTAAGGTTGAGGGATCAAGAAGTGAGGTTTGCGAGCGTCTTGGTCTGGAAGGATTCGCTCCTTGCTTAGGACAAGGGGAGATGGATCCCTCTGCTAGTCCCTCAGGGTCCCTTATAGTAGTCCCTAAAGCCCGTTCCCTGCCAAGAGCCAGGGAGACTATCATACTTCCCCTAAGCCCTAAACCCTAAACCCTAAACCCCTGAACCCCTAAACCCTAACCCTAGACCCCTAAACCCAAAAACCCTAAACCCCTAAACCCCCAAACCCAAGGTTAGGTCTTGCTTGTCGGGGTCAGGGTTTACTCTTTGAGCCCCCCAGCCTTGAACAGAGCTACCATGGGACCCCAGGCCCTAGACCCGAAGCCAAGTCCCTGTGCCAACCTGCGATCTTAGCCGCAACGCCCCAAGTTCTCCCCTGCTTTTACCCCCAGATTTGGGAGCGAACCCTGAACTCTAGCCACTCTGTTTCCACAGCTTCCGTTTACAGTTTACAGCATTCAGGCTTCAGGGTTGGCCTAAACCCTAAACCCTAATCCCTAAACCCTAAACCCTATACCCTAAAGGTGCCCTGAGGGTCTGGGGTTTCGGGGCAGCTCCGAGGACATACGCCAGGCCCTGACCCTCTGCGGCTACGAAGCCGAGGCGCTTCTGGGATTCCCGAAACACTGCGTTACTCTTGTAATCAAGCCCTTCCGGGCGTGGGACCCTGATTCAGAGAGCCCCCAAACTCGATCAAGTTCGATCAAGTTGCTTGATAAAGAGGCTATGCTTATCCCCGCCTGATGTTGACACAAGCGATGTTAGAGTAGTTGTCAGCAAGAAGGCTGTCGTGCCATTTTGCGACTTCTGTAGTACTTTTCTCCTGTGGCACAGGGGCTTCCGATGCTCTTGCTCTTGTGCACACACTTGCCCCGATTTTTGCTCTATCACGTCTTCTTCGTCTTTTTTGCCTGTGTTGTAGCACTACGAATACTGCCATTATGGCAACTTTCAAACAACATGCTTGCCTGAAAGTACCGTCGCCTGCTTTTTGTAGGTTCTTATTCTAAACCCCAATATAGAATGCATACGAAAACATAGGCTTTGGTAGCCCAATGCAGGTGCTTTCTTCGTTCCTGCAGTTTTTCACGTCGAACCCCCAAATCCTAGACCCTACAATCCTAAACCCCAATTCCTAAAACCTGAAACCCTAAACCCTAAACCCCTCAACCCCTAAGATCCGAAACCCCAAGAGCCGAAACCCATAAGACCCAAAACCCTAAGCCCCTAAGACCCGAAACCCCTAAACCCAAAATCCTACACCCGAAGCCCTAAACACCTAGACCCCAAATCCTAAATCCTAAACCCTAAACCGCCTAAACCCCTTAGACCCGAAAAACCTAAACCCAAAACCCCTCGTTCCGCGCTTGGCCGGGTGAGGCCGGCACGCTGGAGCTCTTGGCCGCCGGAGCGCCGAAGCCGGGACAGCCGCCAGGATCGGGGGTTTAGGTTTTTTTTTAAGGGTTTTTTAGATTGATTTTCGGGTTTACTAGGGTTTAGTTTTTTTTTTCCGGGTTTGTTTACTAGGGTTTAGTAGGGTTTAGGTTTTTTTAGGGTTGATTAGGGTGTACTAGGGTTTAGTAGGGTTTACGGTCGGGGGTGGGGTTTCTGGGCTTCATTTGGCGTTTTATACGGCTTCGTTAAAGCGTTTGCAAGGATCTCATTCGGTTTGAACAAGGGCTTTTGGAGGGTTGCCTGCACTTTAATGTTTGAAGTTTAGGGGAGGTTTCGGGCGTTTAGGTTCGGGGTCGATGTTTACGTTTTCAGGACTTGGGGCCGCTTGGGGGTTTACCGGGTTCACAGGTTATGCTTATTTCAAGGTCTATGTTTCAGGATTTGGGGGTTTTGGGGCATTTGTGTTATGGGAGCATGGTGTCGAGGGCTCAGGCGTTACGGTTGAAGTCAGACGGACTCGACCTAATTCCTTCTCTCGTATACAAATACAGGAGAACGAACGAACGAAAGAGCGAAGCACGTATACAAAAATGATTGGTTAAACAAACACATGAATAGATTCATGGATAAACAAATACATAAATACATATGTCTATATCTACGTGCTTTACGGTTCAGGGTGCAGCAGAGTAGGATCTAGGGTGTAGCAATGTGGGGTTTGGGGTTTCTGGGCTTAGGGGCCGGGCTTCGTTGTTATTGAAGTTCTCACAATCGCTGTGAGCACTGTTGACGTAGTAAATAGTGATTATGTCATCAGGTGTTTTTTGTTGTTGTTTCACTCCCGAATTGAGCTTCACCACAAAGCCATTGCTAAATCGGGTGAGTGATGGTTGTTGCCATTGTCCTGCTTGCTTTCGTAATTACGGTTGAGGGGAGTCTTGTCCGAGTCAGTTTCACATCAGCGATTCTTACCATTAGTACCGCTAGTAGTGTTTTGTGACACTTTTCTCCATCTCTCCAGCATGTTTTGCTGCTATTGCCGATTGGGTTCGTTTTCCGAGCAGCAGCGACATTCGTAGTATGTCCTGACAAAGATGCCAACTATGACCAAGGCTCCTACATGGATGCATGCAAACCCACACTAGTAGTCAGCAACAAGAACTGTGGAGACGGCTGCTTTGCCGCTGGGGAGCTTTCGAGTCTCTGGGTATTCCAAGCTTCTAGATCCCACCACCTAGAACCCCTGTAGACGCCTATGACACACTTAAAAAAGGTCAAAGCCTAAACCCCAAACCCTAAAGACCCTAAACAAAAACCCAAAACCCCAAAGACCCTAAAGACCCCAACGACCTTAAGAACAAACCCCTAAACCCTAAAGGCCCTAAGAAACTCCAAAAAAATCCCAAAGACCCCAACGACCTTAAGAATCCTAAACCCTAAATCCTAAACCCTAAACCCTAAACCTTAACCAAAACCCAAAACCCAAAACCCAAAACCCTAAACCTTAAACCCTAAACCCTAAACCTAAAACCTAAAACCCAAAAAAGGCCAGATGGACTCGAAGACCTTCCAAGTTCTCGTGAAGCAGCACAGCCGTGGCCTCGGAGCCATGGAGTTTTAGGGTTTTTTAGGGCTTAGAAGGCTTTAGGGTTTAGGGGTTTAGGGTTTAGGGGTTTAGGGTTTAGGGCTTTAGGCTTTAGGGCGTAGGGTTTAGTGTAAAGCTCGAAGGTTCCTTTTCTACCCTTTGCACCTTCTGTTCCGCAGGCGCACGAGTCAACGGCCCAAGCAAAACAGTGTGCTTGCGGCACTGCAGAGGCCCGGGGGTCGGATCCTCTCTTCTAGTTGTAGATTGGTAGCGGAGCGGCTAGCGCTCCTAGGACCGTCTCGTAGTTTTGTCTAGTGCCTGCGGCTAGTTTTTTTCCGTCATGTCGACCAGTGGTCCTTCAAGTCTCTACGAGGGGTACCCGAGACGCGGGGCTCCCCAACCTGGTGACGATTCCCCGCCCGAACATCGTGATGGCGTAGATGATGTACCTAGGGGTGACGATGGCAGTGTTCCACCTCGTGATGATCACAACTGGGCGGGCACAAGTCGTGCAGCGGGTGATACATGGCAGCAGTGGAGTGATGGATGGCAATCTCGCCGATGGGATCACTCTTGGGGTGGCGACAGGTGGAGCTGGAACGATTCTGGGTGGGCTCAGAATGGCGGCTCTTGGCCTGTCCGTGATAGGACCTGGTGCGACAACAAACCATGGGGGTCGGACTCAACGGGGACCGGCTCAGCAGATGGAGGTCCAGACAGGGACTCCAAGGAATCCTCCTTGGACCAATGGGCTCGACGAGCTTCCCTCGATGACTCGAGGGGCCTTCCGGATGGAACTTGGCCTGATGGATGGGGGCCTTCTACAGAAGGCCAGGGGCGAGCCGAGCGTCCAAAGAGGGAAGAGGGCAGCCGAGGACCCTCAGAGAAGATGGTGGTCCCCACCTTTTCGGGGACGACGCCTGGCAATGGCGATGATCTGGGCACATCTGCCCGCTCCTACTTGCGCCAGGTGGCCGCTTGGCGGAGGATGACCCGTATGAGCGAAGATCAGCAGGCCTTGACTCTGTACCAGAACCTTACAGATCGAGCTTGGATTGATGCAGAGCGTCTGGACATGGACAGGCTTGCAACGAAGCAGGGAGTAGACTACCTCATCGAGTGGGTGAAGGACAGATACCTAGATGTGCAAGTGACGCAGATCGGGCGCAGCTTGTCTGGGTTTTTTCGAGGGCTACATCGCAAAGCGCACCAGACAGTGCGCGACTACCTTGCGGAGTTCGACCGCGCCCATGCAAGGTTGACTGAAGTCGGTTGTGTACTACCAGATGTTGCAGCAGCATGGGTGTTTGTGGACCGTATGGGCCTTGAAGAGCAGGCCGAACTCAATCTCCTGGCGTCGGTGGGTAACCAGTACAGTCTTAAAGCCCTTCAACAAGCAGCTATAGTGCATGACAGGGGTCTTCGGAAGCCTTGGGAACAACAACCACGCAATCCCAAAAAGGAGTGGACCCCCCGAAAGCCCTTCACTGCGAACCTCGCCGGCATCGATGAAGGCGAGGAGCTTGGAGACGACAACGGCTTCGACCCCAGCGACCAGGAGGATTGCGTCAGCGAAGAAGTGGCCCAGGACCTTTTCCAGGCTTTCATGACTCACGAATCCGCGAAACAACGTTATCGTGAAAATGCAAAGCTTCGGGGCAGTGATCCTGACAGCCTCAAGCAGTTGGCCAATGACAAGTTGAAAGCAGCTAAGGCGAAGTCGTTTTGTGCTGGATGCAAAAGGCGCGGGCATTGGCACAAAGACGCGATCTGCCCCCTGAACAGGGGAGGTCCCGAGGCCACTGGTGGCGCGGCCGACCGGGAGAAGTCGAGTGCTACCACGGCGGCGGCCACAGCGACCTCAGCAAGGACTCAGAGCGGCATGACTGTGAGCAGCCAGTATCCATGCCATGTGGTTCATGTGACTTGGGAGATCGAGGGCTACAGGAATAAGGACCTGCTGGCCATTACGGACACGGCGTGCTCGCGCTCCGTTGCAGGAGCGGCGTGGGTGGACACCTACTTGATCGAGGCTCGCAGGCTCGGGTGTGATCCTCAATTCACCTCGTGTCGGGAGGCCTTTAAGTTCGGTGCTTCCAAAATCTTCGTCGCCAGCTACGGGATCATTCTTGGGTTTGAGATGGGTGGCTTCAAGGTGGCATTGAAGGTCGCGGTCGTGAATGGGGATGTTCCTTTGCTCGTATCCAGAAGTGCACTCGGGAAGATGGGAATGCTTCTGGACGTGGCGGAGAATCGGGCTTCCTTCAAGGCTTTGGCCGTCGAGGACCTCTTGCTCGAGACCACCGAGACAGGACACCCGGCTTTTCAGATCAAGCCTTCACCGCTCCCCAAAGCCGTTGTACAGGGCCCAAACTGGGACACTGCAGAGATCAAGATCTTTTCGCAGGCTGAGCAATACACGGGTCCGCCAGGGGTCATGGGTGTTCTACACGGTGATGGCGATGCTGCTGGTGATGCTTCATCCTCTCCGAGATCCGAGAAGTGTATGACTAACTGGATGGTGTCCGTGCATGGTGACGACGTGGATGGTGATGGAGTCCTACCACATGGAGTGCCCTCTGGAAGTAATCTACCTCGTAGTTTCGAGCCTATGTTCTACCCTAAGAAGATTGGTCCAGCTACCCGGAACATGTTGCTCGATGTGAACTTCAACCCTGTAACCTTTGCGGCTTGGTGGGGTACGACTAACATCTCGAACGACTTCTGGATTGAGAACGAAGAGTGCTTGGTTCGTGTACATGTCATTCCCCGAAGATCCTTCTTCAGTCCCGCACACTGGCGTACCCAGAACACACCCCACAAGGAGAAGTTGCTTTCGGTCTTGGGTGTTGTGCGAACCATCAATGCTGTTTCGTGTAAAAGTCACAAGGAATTCCCGGCTGTGCATGGTCTTTGGAGTGAGGTGCGTGACGAGTCTTCTTTTCCGGTACTTTGGATCGGGAGGAGCATTTTCCGTAGGAAGATTCCGATGCCAGAGTCTGTAGCGTGCCACCCTTTGCACAACGATGGCCAAGAGATCGGACCTCTACACGGCACCGATGGTGATGCGAACCAAGACGCTGTCCGAGTTCAACAAGGCCGAGCTTCTGGAGGAGGCGAAGGCCAGGAACCTCTGGGTGAACGACCGTTGGTCGACCGTGGAGCTGCGATCGGCAATCCAAGAGGATCGCCGCAATCCGTCCCCCAACGACCCGGCGAATGCGACGAAGGGCATGGCGTCGATGACACTCGACCAGCTCAAGACCCGTGCCATGGAGCTGGGATACCATCTTCCCCCGCACGGCACCCGCGGCACGATCATGCGGATCTTGAGGGACCAAGGGGGAATGAGTTCGCAGTCCATTCTGGGCTTCGGACGGTTCGCGGGGAAGGCCTTCGAGGACACACCAGTGAGCTATCGAACGTGGGCTTTGCGCGAGGTGGAGAACAACGACAACCCGTCCGAGGACCTGGTGATGTTCGCGAACTGGTGGCAGGGACAGCTCCACAAGTGGAACGACAAGGTACCGGAGAAGCCCCCGGTGGACCGTTTCGATGCGGAGGTGTGCGCGACGATTCCCTACGTGGAGGACGCAAGCTCGACGGCATCTTGGGACGTGCTACAGCGGGAATCGCTGGCGGCACCTATGACTCCCCAGCCCAAGGCCAAGAGCGGAGGCTACTCAGCGCAAGCACCACGGACACCGCCAACGAGACGCCCAGCCGAGGAGCCGGCGATGCCTACCACCGCGAGGATGGAGCAGGAGATCCCACCGGAGGTCGACGAGGAGGTTCGCTTCTTGGAGGAGAGGCTGGCATTGCTCAAGGACCAACACGGCATTCCCCCGAGGAGGTGAAAGGTGGACACCACGAAGGCTCTGAAGGCGAAGTACAAGATCAAGGTGTGTCCTACTACCTCGAGGGCGCCGATGACGACACCGACGCTGATGACGAGGGCAACTACGACGACTTCCTCGACTACCTTGGATTCGACGACGCGGTGGTGTCGTATGTGGCGGAGGAGAAGGACGGTGGAGTCGATATAAACCTTGGAGGCAGTGGGGACGTAGTCCAACGTGAGACCCCCGAGGTACGAGGTCGCCATGGACGTGTTCAAGCTTGCGAGGCGGCGGCGAAGGCAAAGCTCGAGAAGAAGGAATACACCTATGAGGACCTCTTGGAGATCGCCAGACTTCTTCCGCTACGCAAACTTCGAAAGGGGAAGGCGCTCTGCCGCAGCGGGGGCTGCAGCTTCGAGTACCTCTTGGGCGGCATGTACACCCATGGAAGCATGAAGGGCCTTTCGAGGCAGAGTGCTGAGATGCCGTGGGTGGTGAAGTACATGAACTCCTTCATGAAGGCCCAAGGGCATGGACAGTGGAGCTCCTTTGTCCTTTTCAAGAATGCGGCGACGAGTGTTCATGCGGATTCACACAATTTGGCCGGGACAACAATCAAGACTGTTTCCTTCGGGCCCTTCACCGGAGGCGAACTTTGGATGAGCGACCCTAATCGAGACCCGAGCATCCCAGGCACCGTGTGGAGGAAAGACACTGGCGGGAACGAGATCCCGGGCTACCTCGTGAACACCAAGCACCAAGTCTACACCTTCGATGGAAAGGCAAAGCACGCTACCCAGCCTTGGGTCGGGGAGCGATGGGCCCTGTCGCTCTACACTACGCGGGGATATCAGGAAAGTACGGCCACCCTCAGGGATCAACTTCGAGAACTTCGTTTTCCCCTACGTGGACTTCCTCTTCTTCCTGAAGCCCACGGCCAGGCCCCAGGCAGGTTCGTACGACCTGTGAAGAGTATGCGAAAGAGTTTGTGGAAGAAGGCGAGCAGGTTGGCAGCCCTGACTACTTGGTGTGCTACGGCGGGACTGTCTTGCGCCGCCGAAGCTTTTCCTCTGACGAGGGGAAGGGAGGCTGTGGCTTTGTATGAGATCGGTGGAGTTGAAAAGACACTTGAGGTGACCAGTTTGGATTACCTCGTGGCGGAGCCCCTCGACAACCTCTACAACTTCTCGGCTTCGTCGGTCTGCGAGACCGTCCAAAGTACGATCCGCGAGTTCACCGCCGCCGTGGTGTGGATTCACGGTGATAAGGCCACCGGCTACCTGGACGGCATCTACGACTACTTGTGTGAACACGTTGACAAGGGACGGCAGCTTGCAGTTAAAGCACCACCCGGAGATCCCTGTTGGGAGTCCCCCGGACTCAACAAGATCTTGAGACGCTATGAAGGAGCATGGTGCTACAGAGAACAAGAACCAGACGTGCTCCGCGTGAACGACCTCTTCTGCCACCACGACAACGCGACCGACGGCCACGTGATCTCGCAGTTCAATGCCTACGTCGCCGACCACACAACCGGCGGAGCTGAAGGAGAAAGTGAAGGTCTGCCCATCAAATCGGGAGCCGAAGCGATCTCCTTCGAAAAGGGGAAGAACCTGGCGCCCGAGGTCAAGTCATCTCTTCGAAGGCTCCACCAGAACTTGGGACATCCGTCCAACATTGACCTGGCGCGCCATTTACGATTGGCTGGGGCTGACCCTGTGGTGATCGATGCCTGTAAGAGGATTCGCTGTCAAGTTTGCCAGAGGAACAAGAGGGGTAGCACCCCGAAGCCTGCCTCTTTGCCTACTTTGCTTGAGTTCAATCAGGTGGTTGCCGTGGACGCGTTCTACGTCTACGACTGCGAGGGCACCAAGGTCGAATTGATGATGGCCATCGATGTGGGGACAGGTTTCGCGCTCGCTGGAGAACTTCAAGGGCATTCTACCCTAACTATGGAAGCGACTTTCTGTTCTTTGTGGAGCAACACCTTTGGAGCACCAGGCACTCTCGTGGTGGACTTGGAATCGGGCCTACAAGCAGGCCTAGGGCGTTATAGCGAATGGCATGGTACCTTCATCCGGCCCATCGCAGGGCAGGCCCACTGGCAGAACGGTACAGTTGAACGAGCAATTCGGACTTGGAAAGAGGTTTGGGTCAAGCTTGTGGACGAGAGGTCAGCCAACGCCGATGAAGCAAACATGGTGATCACGGCGGTCAACAGTGCTATGAACACCCTACGACGCGAATCGGGATTCAGCCCATCCCAAGCGGTGTGGGGAAGAGACCCGAAACTCCCCGACGATATCCACCACTCCTTCCAGGACGACCACGTGGAACACATCATCAGCCACGACCGCCAACGAGCCCGGGAGCACACTTTGCGGATAGCTGCCAAGGAGTGCTACTACAGGTGCCGGAACGACGCGAAACTACGAAAAGGACTACTTCAACGATCCCGAGTGGCCGGACCGGACCTTCAAGTCGGGTGCCACGTGTTCTTCTACCGAAAGCCCAAGAACAACAAGAACTGGGTCTGGCATGGACCTGGGGTCATTATTGGCCAAGAGGGACCCAACCACTGGGTGTCTTTCTCGGGGAGATGTCATTTGGTGGCACCGGAACACTTGAGGATGGCGAGTGGGGAAGAGCTTGGAGCAGCCTTCGCTCTAAGAGCCACCAAGGAGGACCTGGAGAAGCTCTTGGAACAAGACTTCAGCGAGGAGGTTCTCTTCGAGGATGACGGGAATGAGATGGAAGTGGACCCCGAACTACCTCCTGGTGACGACCAAGGTCTATCTGATGGTGATGGACGTGCAGAGGCGAGCAGGAGGAAGTCCGAGGCTGCACCGCCTGCCCCTGTGCCCAAGCGGTACAGGACCAAAGGCCCGCAGGAGATGGAGTCCCACGACCCCACCTACGACGCCTACATGATGAAAATGGCGAAGACTCCGAGAGGCCGTGAAAAGGCCCTGGAAAAGGAGATTCCGTGGTCCATGGTGCCGCCCGAACAGCAGGAGAACTTCAAGCAGGCCGAGCTCAAGCAGTACTCCGAGCACGTGGAACACAACGCACTCGAGCCGCTCTCTGTCGAGCTCAGCAGGAAGGTGATGAAAGAGCAACCCGATCGCGTCCTCAACAGCCGTTTCGCTTACCGTGATAAGCATTGGTCACGAAGACGCCAAAAACCTAACCTCAGCTGGAAGGCTAAGGCAAGGCTGGTGATCGCAGGCCATCGTGATCCCGACCTTCTGTCAGGACTCCCGACGCATGCGCCTACGATCTCCCGACAAGGGATTCATCTTCTACTACAAGTTCTGGCCTCGAACCTACGACGTGGATGGAAGGGGTTCGCCGGCGACGTCACTGCCGCCTTCCTGTGCGGAGAAGACCTACAGCGCGAGCTCTACCTCAAGCAGCCTAAGACGGGTTTAGGCGATCTTCACCCTGAACAACTCCTCCGGATCCGCAAACCTATTTTCGGACTTGTCGACTCTCCTGCAGCATGGTGGACCAAACTGCACAAGACCTTCAAGAAGATGAGGGTGAAGAACGACGATGGCGAATGGATCGTGGTCCAGAACACCCTGGACCACTGTATATTCATGGTGCAGAAGATCGAGGGCTATGACGAGGAAGACCAACCTCGACTGGGAGCTCCGGAAGCCTACCTCGGAGTACACGTGGACGATGTCCTCTTGGTGGGCGATGGCACTCTCTGCGACCTCTTGAAGCGCCAACTCAGCTCGGAGTTTCCCATACAAGAATGGGAAGAGGAGAAGTTCGAGTACGTCGGGTCCTACATCGAGGTCATGGAGGACAGGGTGAAGGTGTCGCAGGCCAGCTACGCTGCGACACGACTTTTCCAGGTCGAAACCGACAGGAACAACCCCGACCATTTCGAAGCCAGCGAGGTGGAGAAGCACGACAACCAGTCTCTCATCGGGGCACTTTCCTGGATGGCGAGTCAGACAAGGCCAGACCTACAAGTTGGTGTTTCGATGAGTCAAAAGAATCAGAAGTCACCGACGGTCGGCGACATCAGGTTCACGAACCAGCTCGCTCGGCGAGCCATGGAGCATAAGGAGGAGGGACTCACCTTCTTCCCCGTCGACTTCGACAAGGCAGTCCTTCTGTGCTACCACGATGCTGGATGGGCGAACGTGCCCCAGTCTGACGAAGACCCCTACTACCGCTTGACCGACGAGGAGAACCTACAGGGCAAAATCCAGGACGGGCCCATAGCCCGCCGAGAAGCGAAGATGAAAAAGGCGAACTCGACCATCGCCTCCCAGTTCGGAGGGCTCTACATCTTGACCGATGAAGACGTGATCTATGGGAAGGAGAGCCGTGGAAGTATTCTGGACTGGAAGAGTGGTGCCTGTGAACGTGTATGCAGATCTACGTTTGCAGCCGAAACGATGGCATGCAGTACCGCAACCGAAACAGGCGAGTTCATCACCAAGTTCCTCGAGACCATCCTGACTGGCAAGTTGGCTCGTCATTCGACTCGTTTTGGTTTGAGGTTCCTCAGTGACTGTCGTAGCCTTTATGACCACCTCACTCGGGACGGAGTCCCAAGAGTGCCAACATGTAAAAGGCTGTCGATAGATCTGGCGGGAATACGCCAAGACCTCAAAAGCTGTGGGCGGATTGTATGGGTGCCCACAGGGGCACAGCTCGCAGATATTTTGACGAAGCCACTCCGACCAGACACATGGTGGGAGACAATCAAGTCCCCTTTGAGGCTGACTTTCAAAGAGAGCAGACAGAACTTTGTATAGAGATATTTGGAACCAGTGTAAAGCTCGAAGGTTCCTTTTCTACCCTTTGCACCTTCTGTTCCGCAAGCGCACGAGTCAACGGCCCAAGCAAAACAGTGTGCTTGCGGCACTGCAGAGGCCCGGGGGTCGGATCCTCTCTTCTAGTTGTAGATTTAGTGCTTAGAAGAGTTTCAGGGTATTTGGTTTAGGGCTTAGGGCTTAGGGGGTATACGGTTTAGGGCTTAGGGTTTGGGGGGTATGAAGTTGAGGGCTTAGGGCCTGGATTTTAGGGTTTAGAGGGTTTTTTCGGCTTAGGGTTTCGTGTGTTAGAGTTTGGGTGGTAGGTTTTAGGGGGTCCAGGATTTAGAGGTCTAGAGTTGCAGGTTAGGGTTACCCTAAACCCTAAACCCTAAATCCTTTTCGGCACCCCCAAACTGGGGGCCCAGAGCAGAGTCCACCGCAATGTGCTTGGAATGGATCCGGTAGCCAAGTGCTTTTAGAGTCGTGCTAAAGAGGTATGGGCAGTTATGGGGTCATATCCTACTTACGACTTCAACCCTAAACCCCCAAACCCCGAACCCCCTAAACCCCCAAACCCCTAAACCCTAAACTTTTTAAGCGACGTTTGGTGCTGCAGGCTTCGAGTCGAAGAACCTATATCCTTCCCGGCTTCGATTCCGAAGCTGTGCGGTTTAGCGTTTAGGGTTTAGAGTTTAGGGTTTAGGGTTCAAAGTAACCACATACACATCAGGATCCCTTTCTGATTATGCAGTGCTGTGTTTAGGGAAGTTTCCGCCAGCCGATCCGTGGGTTCGCGTGGTCTTTGGGCTCCTAGTTCCACTCGAAGGCTCAAGGGCCCCGACTGGAGCCCCAAGTCGCGAGACCCTCGTGACCGTGGCCGGTGGCAGAATTCTGAGGGCTTACCTATGATGTGCAGAGGGTTTAAGGAAACCGGGCAAATTGACCGACATCTGCAGAATCTGTAGAACCGTCACATTCCCTCTTTCGTAAGACTCCTGAGCCTCCACGCAGAAACCCACGGAGGCCGAGAAGTGCATACCTGGAAGCGTGATGCGCGCAGCTCAGATTCCAGAGACCTCGTTCGTGAGATCCTTATGTTCAGATTGTCTGGGAACCCTAAACCCTAAGCCCCGAACCCCTAAACCCTGAACCCGAAACCTTAAGCCCTAAGCCCTAAACCCTAAGCCCCAAACCCCTAAACCCTACACCCGAAACCCAAAGTCCTAAACCCTTTACCCTAAGCCCCTAAACCCCTCAACCCGAAACCCTAAGCCCTAAGCCCCCTGCAGACCTCAACTTCCCAAACCCCTCACCGGGGATGAGCGGTTCCGGATTCCAGGGTTCAGGGCGTTCGGGTTGGGTGGGGTGCGGGCATAAAGTTGAGGGCTTTGTGCTTTGTTGGGCCAGACTTCCTAAACCCTAAACCCGAAGTCCCTGACACCTCCAGAACCTTCTAACTCCCCGGAGACGGGAGGCCTGCAGGGTCAGTAGCTTCGAGGCTGTGAAGAGATCGCCCCCTAAAGCCTAAAGTCTAAGCCAGTCATGGTCATTGTGGCGCGGTTTTTGGGAGCAGAGCTCTGGGGTATGGAGTTTAGGGTTTAGGGTTTGGAGTTTAGGGTTGAGGGTTAAGTGCATTGCAGCCCCCGTGTCAGCGTTTTGCTCGGCGCAATTGTTCGCATCTGCGTCTTGCGTTCAGCGCAAGCTGCCCGAGTATGTGCTAGGTGGCGTCTGCATGACCTTCTGCAGCATGATCGCGTTTCAGCAGGGGCTGGCGTGCAAGTTCGACACCCTAAACCCTAAACCCTAGCTGCCGAGCTGACAACATCCGACGGTTGTCGTATTTGCGTCTTGGGGGAGGAGGAGCACTCAGGAGCCCAACCCAAACCGAAACCCTCAACCCTAAACCCTCAACCTTGCACCCTCAACCTTAAACCCTCAACCCTAAACTTCTTCTTCACTTCACTTCACTGCAAGAGGGAGATCCTGTGCAACGATGGACGAGGCCAAAAGCGAGACAAGCTCACGCCTCTGGAAAACCGGGCAGCTTACAGGCCCAAAGCGTGCAGACCCAGAAGGGCGTGAGACGACCTGGAGCCAAAAAGGGGCTCAACAGGGAGGGCGCACAGCACGAAAAACGGCGAGACCGAGACAGGCAGGACAGCCAACCGGCCAAGGCCAAGCCAGAAGGCCGCAGCCGGGACACCAAGGAGGCCGGCCGGGCAAAAGGGACGGGCAAGCGCGAGCCACCAAACAGGCAGCCCAGCGGGCCAGCTCACGCATGGCAGTGGGGAGCGACAAGACGAAAAAGGCGAGTACGCTCAACCCTGGCAGATTGTAGAAAGGCAAAGATGGATGGAATGAACTGGGGCATGGCCAGAAGAGTGCCAAAACCCAAAACCGAAACTGTGGAAAGGAACACAGCTCCGGGGGACGCGCGGAGGAGGAAAGCCTGCCAGGTATCCCATGTTCCGACCCAAGGCCAGACAGGAGCCATCGAAGGGTGACAAGACGGCGCATAAAAAGCTGCCGAACTTGGGTTACAGCCTCAAAGGTGGCCGACCAAGCGTCCGCGGAGCGGGGAGCAGCCTCTTTGCGAAGAAAGGCCGTGACTCGCCAGGTTTCCATGGACCAGGGCTCGTTGAGGGAGATCTGACAGAGCGTGCGGAAGCAGCGGTGCCATTCGATCGGAATAGCCCAGACCCTAGCAGGCTGAGGGGCGTCCCAACGCAGGGAGGGGACCAGCACGTCGTCGGGGTGGGCGAAGTCCGAGAAAGCGCCCCAAGACCAGTTCTGCCAGCTTGCAGGGGGGGCAGAAGCGGAAAGGCTGACGGGGCTCGGCATCCGGGCGGCAGACGGGGGGGAAGCAGCGCCGCAGACAGGATCAGACGGACCGGGCCGCGGGACCACTACGGCCGAGCGAGCCGACGAGGCAAAACCCGGGCCCGGAGCTAGGCGACCGAGCTCTTCATCGAGCTCAGCCTGAGAGCACGCACGACCCTCAAGGGAGGCTTGCCGCTGAGCGGGAGTCGCGTTGATGGGTCCGGCAACACGAAAGACCGGTGCACGGAGGTGGCCCTTCTTGCCAGACCGTTTAGTCCCAGAACCATAAACATACATAGGGCCAACCACACACCGGAGCCCGTGTTCACAACATGCGGAGTGTTGTAAATGGTATCTCAGACGGTCGGAGTTATGAAACTCACACAAACACCAAAGGCACACCGTGCCACAAGTGTATTGAGTGCTGAGGGCGACTTGACCGTGCATCCTGTGCAAGTGGGCGGCCAGAGCGTGCCGGGACGGAAGGACAACCTGGCAGAGCTGCCCACCATGTAGCGGCAGACAGATCTGGCCTGGCAAGGATCTGTCGAGTCATGTCAACCTGCAATTGCTCTGCATCAAGTCTCACCGGGAGTACATCACCATGCCGAAAGGGAGGCGTAATCTCGGTATTCACCTGCAGCGCATCAGTGGCCGCCAGGTCACAAGCAAGGGTGAGCAAGTGTGAAGGCGGCGCATGACGCGGGATGTCTGCACACCACACCTCAAGCCCGGCATCAAGCAACACCGTGGCAGTGGCTGGGGCGGTCGAGGCCATAACAAGATGGGCATGAATAATGGACAGGCCCATACTGGCGGCAAACACACGCGGCCTGCCGGAAAGGCCAGCGACGCGGAGGATCTCAGCTCGAACCTCTCTCGCAGACTGAGTCCCCAAGAACTCCAGGACTTGAGATCCCTCAGGGCCCCATAGCTTAAAACTAAAGCGCAACTGTTGCGAGCCACTGCTAGGGACCGGCCAAAGAGGGCCATCAACCTCAAAGGAGCCGTGCTGCCATAGAGTCTGGAGCCGCTGGTGCGCAGGGGGGGGAGCAAGGCGAGCGCATCCAATGCTGGTTTCGGGGACTCAATCACAGCCCGTGGAGAGGAAGGCTCACTTTGCGTAACCATACCTAGGGCAACCTGGCTAAGACACAACAAGAAGACGACCCTAGGCGAGGTACCCATGCCGAGAAGGGCGCCTCCAAGTAAGGGCCAAACACGAACAATATGGGCGCAGGAGACGTCAGGAGCTGGGCAGGCAGGGGGCGGGCCGGCATCCTGTGAGCCATCTTCTACAATGCCGTAGGCGGGGCCACCCCCCGCAGACGGTTCCACAGCAGGCAATGGGTCCCAATCCAGCGGTTGTGGCATAGGAGGGGAGGAACCGACCTGGCCAGGCAGGAGAGGAGGCAGCGTATCATCCTCACGAGCAGTGCGGTCCCAAGTGTCGCGCCCCCCGACCGCCCTATCCGAACTCGCATCATCCTGCACGAAGATGTGGGGAAAGAAGAGCAGCACAAAAGGTGGGCCACCAAAGAGAGGCTGGACCGCGGACACGGCAGTTTCTTTGTGAAGAATGCCAAAGCCCCCGGCTCGGCACGTCGCAGGCCATTCAGATGGAAGGTCCCTACCATCGTCAATCGCCGTCTCAAGGACACGCAGAGGAGTAACCGGCGGTTCCACGCACGTGGTGACTATGCGCCAACCTGTAGGTCTGAAGTCCAGGATGCACGGAACAGCTGGGCTGATGCAATGCACTTCCAAGAATTGCACACGAGGTAAAGAGGGCAATGGCTGCCACAAGCGCATAATGCCTCCACCAGCCGTGGGCGACGCTTGAAGGGCCACCAAACGCCGGTATGTGTTAACACAGGCACCTCCACATACACAAGACCGTTGGGCGTGAGCAAGACGGCATGATTGGCAGAAAACCCAGAGAAAAGCTCAAGAGGTGGCCCAGCCGGGGTCGCACTGACCTGCATCAGCGTGTCCAAGGTAAAAGGAGGTTCGAGGGACGTGCCAAAAAGCGGCTGCACCTGAGTGGATTCGGGTCCATATGCAAACTGAAGAGCGTCCACATTAGGAAGAATTAAAGGCTGGGAACCCAAGGAGAACCACCCCAGACTACAGCGCCCCAAGACCCCCTGAAGTGCCCTAAAGCGGCCCTGATGCTCCAG